GGAATCACCAGCCTATGGTTTCGAGGGCATCTGGTGATCGCCACCCGGTGGCCAGGAGAGGCTGCCCGGCGGGAGCGGCATCGAGGCGCGATCGTCTCTGCCAAATAGAACTCAGCGGGCGCATCGCGGACCATGCAGAAAGGGGGGCCAAAGAGAAAAACGGGTGATGAAGAACTTCCCACCGAGTGAAGAAGAACTTGTTCGGCTTCGCAATGCGCATCAGCTCGCATCTCTGCGAGGGATCTTGGAGGGCTCTTTGGTGGGGATGGTGCAAAGGACAAATTGGGGTGCATTGCTCGCAAAGCCAAATGGGTACTTGGACACGCACGGATCTGGCGCAATGCCCTTGTGGAGGGGTGAGGTTAAACACAAGGAAACCGGCCTGTCCTCCAGTCCCTGCGCCGCGTGGTGGGCCATCCGGGCCGCTTCGCCATCTCCTTCCGGAAGGACTGGCAGACTGGGACTGGGTGGGCAGGAAATGGCATCCTTTTGCTTTTGGACGCTACACGGATGCTTGTCCTGTGGGGCAAGCCATGGGAATCCGCTTGATAGAAGCTGTTGAACGGGGGCCCCCAGCTGTGAATCTCAAGCCGATTCATGGGTTCTCCTTCCCATGGGCAAGGCCGCGGCTCGAAGGGTGAGGCTCAGTTGCTTGAAGATTCAGGTTGGTTGAACACTTGTTTTCAGTTTAGTTCTCTTCCTGTGCCAGTGGAATCCCGTCTTTGCAAGGACACTTGGGGGGGAAGAGGGGACGTGAAGCAACGGTTTAACCCAGGCAGTCCACCAACGGGCGGTGCTGAAAGGCTGGTTGAGAATTGCCCACAAAACTCTGCCGGCCAGTGCAGCAAGCGTTTCTACTCCCTGGTGTTGGCGGGCTGATAGCGTGGATGGAGAGAACCCTGCACCAGTTGGTTGGTGGCGTCTCCCAATATTTAAAGAGCCCCATCCATCCAACTGGTGCGAAGCGGGTTTTGTCCATTCAAAGTAGTGAGGCCTCTTGTAAACCCGTACCGACCAGATTTCTAGAGTCAAAGGGGTTTGGTTGTTGCTCATTTAGGCTTGTCTCTGAATGCTGGGGCGGTTTCCCTGGAGTAGGGTAAGACCCATGTGGCGAAAAGAGTATCTCGGGTTGGGAATCCCTGCAAGGGAAACCAGTCGAAAGCCCGCCACCTACGCTCGGGGTTGGGAAGGTGAAGCGGGCAACTAGGATGGCAAGCCAAAGATTGGTGGTTCCCGGCCATGCCCTTAGGTTTTAATTTTTTATGGTTGAGTGGTAGTTTCCTCTAAACCACTATTAGACTTTTTGCAGGGGATCTGGGAACGAAAACTGGGGGGACCTTTTACTTTTGCCCTCGACCGTCTTTCCCACCGAAAGTTGCGCGCGTGCACATCGCGCCTCGCGCTCAGCGTGTCGTGTTCATGGCAGGACCACAATGCGCGGCGGGCGTTGGGGGCCCTTTGGGATCTGGAATGTACGGGTGATGCTGCAGGACCCACCGGTCCCTTTGTGGTTCAATATACCAGCCTTACATAGGGCTGCAGTATAAGGGTCCCCTATTTTGGGATGCAATTTGTCTCCCACATGACGTGGATTGTGATTCTACGATTGCAATGGCCATCTTGAAGATGCAGGCGGTGATGCTTCTTGTGGAGCAAGTGCATGCGCATCCTGTTTGAGATGTGCTACTCAGGCTGTTTCAAAGCTGTGTGGATATCATCATGCCGGTATAGCGAGCAACAATCATTTGGCACACGACATGGCTTGCCTCGATTGTTCCTGGCCTTCTCTTGGTAACATCTCCAAGTTTGTGCTAATTGCACCCAGCAATCATGCAAGCCAACAATCGTGGACAGGGGTTGGATCTGTCCGCTTGACACCCTATGTCCGGGAAAGAGCTCCGGGTCCCGTGGCCCAGGCTCGAAAGCTTGAGCGGAGCGGACATGAACGGCCCGGCTCCCGGAGATGCGAGAGCCTGGACCGATCTTCCGTTCTCGGGGAGACGCTTCTGGGGAGGACAATAGAGGGTCTAAAAACACCTGCGATATTCAGGATTCCCTTGGAAGGCATGAAGAGGATCCTGTTGAGAGTGGGGTTTCGAATTGGGATTGTCTTTGGGATCTCAACTCCGACACTCCACGGCATCCATACTGAAGTTCTCGTAAGACACCCAGCAGCGGAGGGGGGGGGGTTCAATGCAAAACCGAGGACGAACATGTTTGGTTCCATGTGGGTTTGGTTCGGAAATCCAACTTACGCCATTTGTGGCCTTGAAACTTTGGAAAGATCATAGAGCCAAACGCGAACTCCAGGGGCTTTCGATGGCCTCCGCGCGGAAAGTCACGTGAGGCCACGCTGTGGCCGCCACGCTGAGGGCTTTGGAGCTGAGCCGCCACAGCAGCAAGGCGCGATGCGAGATGGCAGCCCAAGCAGGCGATTGGCCCTGGAAGCTCACCAGATTTGGCTCACTCTGTCTAGGGACACATCCCTCTGGGTCAAAAAATATCCAAAAGCACGGGGTCATGGCTGCCGTGGCCGGAAGGCGGGGCGCCTCATCGTGCGGAACCTGTCCTTCAACGCCTCGGAGACGCTTGGCGTGAGATGGGTTGGAGGGGCGAAGGCTGATTGGTTTGATGGGTGGCGCTTTGTCACACTTGGAATGAGGTCATTTGGTTTGTCTTGGGCGAGCTGGTGGGACAGGCTTACTTGGTTTGACTTGATTGAGTTGGCGGGGTACAGCTTTCAGCAGTGCATGGCATCGGTCAGATGCTTCTTTCTTCTGCGAGAACTTGGATCTGTTTCCGTCAAGAGCCAACTGAGAAGTCCCGCCGGAAGCGGATTGGCTGAAGCGGGGGTTCGCTTTCGGAAGCGGCCGTGCCTTCCTTTTGCTGGATACCTTGCCGCCAACCTGTCAGGCTCTGTGGTTGCACTTTGGCTGTGTCCATGCAACACTCAGTTTTCCAAATTGCTGATGCAAGGGAAACGATTGCAAACCCTTGGTCTCGATTTTCTGGCGCACCTCGTCGACTTTGCCTGGGGCATGTTTGGACCCCGGTTTCGCCTATCCCAAAACAGCGCTCGGCCCGTCCCTCCCGCAACCAAGGAAGCACCTACAGAAGGCTGGAAGGGGAAGCGGGCAGCGTTGCCCCAAAAGTACTCCGCTCACCTTCGGATCAGGGAAGAACGCAGGGGGAGGCGATCTGTGAACTGTACCCTCCCCCAGGCCAACATGGAAGCTCCCAGGACCGCTTTGGAAGACTTGGTTCCATTTACAGAGGCTTTTTCGGAGTTTCCATGTTAGTCTGAACGAGTGTATCTCATGTGGGAAGGCCAACTTTGTCCTGAGGGTTTGGGCACGCTGGCGGAAGCCTTTGTGGGCAATTGCGACCACGCATTGAGGCGGGCACTTGGTGCTGCCCCTGTTGCTTGTGTGACCTTTTTTGGCGGTTTAAGCCTGCTTGTCCCATAAACCAGCAGCCACAGACTACAGGCATATGGGCGTTTCTGGAAGTGGCAGTGTTTTGATGCGGAAGCGATACGGTCACGTCCACCCCACCAATCACTTTGGGCGCCATTGTATTGGTTTTCCGATGTGGGTGTGCCGTGGGGTTGCCTCAGTGGGCCATGTTGGGACACACTGTCATGGGGAATACCGTGCATACCCTGCCAAATGTCGTCGATTGCATACATCTGCCCATCTGGCAAGCTCACTTTGGGGCGCGGGGGTAAAAAGTAGCTCACCATGATGTGGGTCCTTTACTTGGGGATTCAATTCTTAGTCCAGGTGTTGGAATTGTGGAACTTGCATGACACAACCCCACGTTTAAGCCACCCTGGGGAACTTCAGGAGAGCTTGAGGGCGTCTTGCTGAAGTCGGATGCTTTGGGGACAGCTTCCATACGGGCGCAGCAGCGCCGAGACGCCAGGCCTTTCAGGCTGCCGGGCAGGTGGTGGACATCCACGTTCCCAAGAAGGACACGTCCCTGGGGACTGGTCCCTGTTAGGAGACCTGTGCCACACGCTGGATTCCTTGAAGATGGAAGATTTGTGGTATTAGAGTCAGTCAGTTGGATTGAATTGCAAAGTAATTTCTAGAGTGCTTGACGATTCTGGCACTAAGAACCAGTTTGGCACGTTCGGGGAATTTCAGGAAAAATTGGGGCTTCGCCTTGTCTTGGCCAGGGATCATTGCAAAACCGTCAATGAGAACCCTGGTAAGCGTTGATTCGGCGTACTGCGATGGCGCCCATGCGTTTGTTTTGATGTTGATCCAGGGTCGATAAGTCCAAGGTTGATTGACAGGTGGTGTCCAATTCTAGAGAGAATCAGTCTGTTTTTTCTTCTTTTTTTTTGGCGTGTTTTTTTTTGGGGGGAACCACCCATTTATGAGTTGCAAGGTTTGTTCAATCTGGGGTCAACTTGAGCCAGCCGGAAAGAAAGGATCGAAGGTTTACGACGCGTTCGGAACGCTGCTCACAAGTGTTGGCAGCTGCTTTTCTTTGAAGCCTGCGACATGGGTAAAACGAATGCAGCCCTTTTGTTTGGGAAGTCACAGGCTTTGAGACATGGAGCCTTGTGCACTTGTGGGCTTCAGGGGTATGGAGGTCAAGCATTGGGTTGTAGGATCCATGCCTGACTACATGCATACATGCAGCCATGTCTTTTCTATGAGGGGCAATATTCAAAGTGCATATTCGACTCATATTGTTGTACAAGGATTTCCATGACTCGGAAAGCTTACTCTGGAAATGAAGTATGGAACTCAAGAAACCCTTTGACGAGGGTGCTCCTTGGGCTCCATGGCTTGGAGCGTCTCAGGTTTCGGCAAAGTTTGGACGGGGCGATGCGTTTCCGATCGTGCGCAGCTCTGGCCGCGTGTCGGAGATAGGAAAACAACCACGAGCCCTCCAAGAAAGCAAGGCATAGCCGTCCAGGCAGGTTTTCCCTCAACATGTCCGGTTCAAGGGTGGTGGCACCGAAGCCCAGAGTCAAAGCTCTAACTTTTTCTCACTGCCGGACATAGCTTTTTGCCCCGGCGGCGCCCATGCGCTGAAGCGGCTGCGGCTTCGCAGCGCGACAAAACATGCCCTTCCAGACCTGCCGCGGCGGAGGCATTGGTGGAGACCGGGGGGGGGGCGGCGCTTTGGTTCGGCCTTCGACCCCCAAACCTTTGGGCTAGCTCGGCACAAATAGTCCCCTATTTGTATCAGCAGGGGTGTTTGCCCTATGTGGATTGAGGGTACCTCCAAACATCCCTTAAGTCCTTAAGCGGCTTCTTGGCTCCACTGCTGCGATCGGGGACGTTCCCACCGACTCCGCCGAATCCGCCGGGAAGCGGCGACTCGGCCGAATCCCTCGGCGCGCAGGGGACTTCCTCTGGGAGCGCCACGCGGGCGGCGCTGGCTCTGCCTTCGCGGAGGCGGAGGAGGAGCTGGGCGCCGAGCGCTTCGCTGCTCGGATGCCTCGGAGCGGTCAGTGAGGCAGTGGGCGGTGGGGTTTTGTACGAGGGTTGGGTGGTTGAGGGAAACAAGCAGACTCGAAAGGAGAGTGAAAGGCGGCTAAAGACGAGGTGTTTGGGGTGGGGGGTTGAAGCAAAATCAACAGGTTTTGGATGAACGGCCAAGGGAACCAAGGAATGGGTGGGAATATTCGAGTCTTACCGGTTGGTTACCTTGAAATCACGAGGGCAAACACATCGAGGATGTCTCACCATGGACGGACAGTATCCAGGGTTAGAATCGGTGGACCTCGACTTCTTCGGCCCCAAAAGCGGATTGAAATGTCGCTGGTTGCTTCAGGGGTTCCATGCGAATCTGCAGGAGCGTAGAGCGTTCTTTAAACACGAATTATGCTTCCGGATGGGGGGGGGGTCGGATTTTTTATACGGAATTCCCTTGATTTATTTACCTAATAAAATGCAGGATATCCAACATTTTGACCTAGGGCGGTGCGCTGGAGAAGGGCCAGAAGGCGGTCCAGGCGTTCCGCGCCGCCAGCGACCCCAACGGCGTCCACGACGCCGTGCGCTTGGCGCCGGGCTGAGGGGGAGGGTCGGGCTGGGGGGGGGAGGTAAACGGGACGTGGCGACGTGGCTACGTTCACACCCGCTTCCCTGCTCGTCAGCTTCCATGATGGTTGGATACAACCAACACTTCATGGCACCAAGTCATTTGCTTGCATATCATCTTCCGCGAAGCTCTTCGCCATGCGCCCCCTTTTTTCCCATAGCATCCCGTAAACTTTTGAGGAGAGAGCAGGGGATTGAGTCTTTGCGCCGCCGGCTCCGGTCGGTTTCTGCTTCCGGGTTTCCCTGAAGGTGGTGAAGGCGTTGGTGGGGCTCCAGCAGCACGCGCAGGCGCTCTCGCGGGAGACGGGAAACATAGCGATCCCGTTTTTTTCTTCCCCCCACCCCAGTGGGTTGTCTTCCTGGGTCGGAATCCTTCCTTAGCAAGGGCCACACTTTTAATCTGACACTGGTAGTGCAACCAGAGCTGAAGCTTTGCCATCCATTGCAAACTAAGACACGCGGCGCCACATTTTGTGGCCATGGTCCTAACCTTCGCCGCATGCTGGGCGGCTTTTGAAATCCCTGATTTGTTTGGTATCTTCCAGAGTCCTCGGGTTGCAAAGAGACCGCACCGCGCTCGTCATGCTTGTTTGAAATGGGTATGTGTTCTTTTGAGGGTACCTTCACCTGATTTCAAAGGGGAACCCAAAACGGGGACGCCACAAAAGCCCCTTTATTGACTTCTGCCCAAAGGCCGGCATCGGTGTTTCATCCTGCCCATGCGCTCAAAACGTGGCGGGACGCTCTAGGCGCAGGAGTTGGCCAAGGCGGAGCTGGCCAAATGCCGGGAGGCGGTGGGATGGTTTTTTCGAGCCTTCGGCTTCACCTCAGGGAAACCTGAATCTACGTCGGCTGTGACTCTATCGCTGGGGTAGGGCTCACATGTGGCGTGGAATTGCCCTGGTCCCGCGTCAAACCTAAATCCTGAAGACACTACACCCAAACCCTAAAAAGCCCAAACCTCAATCTTTATGGTGTAAATGTGACGCGTGGGTTTTGCGCGGCCCCAGTGCAGAACTGTAAACGGGGTATGCGACGGTCGGGTGGTCCTGGTTCCAAAAACACGCCCGAAGGAAACGAGGCATTTTGGAGACAAAACTAATGGGTTGCTTCCTTTCTTTTTGAGGAGTTTTGCCTCGAGAGAAAACTGCCAACCAACGAGTGGTGTCTTTGATTGGCCACTGGAGGTCTGCAGGGTTGGGGGGTCTGGGGTTGGGAGTTCGGGGGTGTTGACTCCAATTTGGAGGTTCTGCTGTATGCCAGATCTTTCATTCTTGCAGCGTGGTTGGTTGACAGAATGTTGGTTTCACTCTGCTCTTTACAACTAAACAGTTGGTTCTTTCTTTAAGTCTTTCAACAGTTCATTCACTCTACTTGCGTCCGTCCTTTGCTCGAAACTAAGCTCAATGACCGGCATTGGCTATGCGGAGGCTTCTTTAATTTCTCTTCACACTCGTCACTTTTAAGCTGCAGTCCATTGAAATTGCTCAGTTTTCAAAGCGGTGCTCGAACACATGTCGCCATCGAAGGTGGCAGAAGCCAAAATCTCGGCCCCATCGCAGGGGAGGGTGGGCAACCAAAGCTTGTTTTAAACTGCCTGGCCCTCTTTCGAAGGGAGCCAGAAGATTCACTAGGTGTACAAACATGGTTCAAGAGGGGAGTTGGCCCAACCCGAGTAATTTATTCCGGTGCTTGACGCTGCGCAAACATGCACTTTGTTTTGGCATGGGAGAAGTGCGGCAAAGTCGTCGTTGCCTCTTGCGACCTCAACTTTTTTGGCAATCTTGCAGAGCAGAGCATGACTTTCATCGCCGAATGTATCTATAAAGCTTTCAGTGACGCATGTAGAGCATGTAGAGTGGACTTCAGGCGCAACCCAGCACTTCACCTGTTTTTTTGGGAGGGGCAGGGGCCTTGGCGTTCCGCGCCCGGGCAAAGCGCCGAAGCCTCGGCTGAGATTCTGGCAGGCCGGCCAGCGCCTGGGGGAGGCCAAGATGCTGATGTCCCTGGGAGAGGCGAGCCTGGCCAAGGAGGGCAAGGCCAAGGCGCGGAAGCTCTGAAGAGGTCGGCCGTTCTCCATGGCTGTCGGTCAAAAGTACTGTGGATGGACGAAATCCTGCACCACCCTAACCAACCATGAGACACCATCGTTTGTTGGTATTTACAGGGGAATCAGCATTCCAGGGTTTCTTAGGTGGTGCAGGATTTCGTCCATCCACAGTAGGTGCTCAAAACGCCCTTCGGATCCGTGGCCATGGTCAAGCGACTCCGTTACTTGGGGTTTCACCGGGTGGTCATCACCCCTTGAAGAGGATGCTAGACCAAGATCACTCGGGTTGCTGCTATGGACGGCCACATTTGTGGCAGGAACGTCCAAAGAAGAAATATGTCCCACCTCCACATGGTGGAATCCTCCTGCGGGTAGTTTTCTTTTGGATTTTGCTTGAAGCAACTCCAGAACCATAGGTGTTCTTTTCGGTGGTTTTGGGAAAAATAGATGGCCCTGGTTTACCTGGTGGTTTAATCATCTATCAGGGCCATTTATTTCCCGTAAAAGGACGCCTATGTCCAGAACGGATACCCCTCAAAGGACGCACCACGCATTCTTTTTCGAGGGTTAAGCCTTGGGGCTGGCCGTGGGGGTTGGCCAACTTCTGCGCCTCTGGCGCCCAGGCAGAGGCAGTGAGCTCTTTGAAGGAAGCGAGGCGTGGCGGGTTATTACATTGAACTGGCTGCGCTTTCCCTTTAAAACTACAAGAGGGGGGGTACCCTCCAAAAAGACATATTTAACTCCTCAAAAAAACTTTGAGAGGAACCTCCTTCTCAGAGACCTTGTTTTGTGGGGGTCCATGTCAATGTGCATTGGAGTACTGTGAGGTTCTAAACGTTTCCATTGTGTCCCCCGCCCCCAACCCCACCATTGCCCTGAAGGGTTGTGGCCCGTGTCACCCTATTTGCGAACCTACAGGGGGCATTGACAATGAACACGGGTTGCGGTCCTAAAACACCAATATAACAGGACCATATGAGAATAATGTTAGTAGTTGTTTAGATGGCCTGAAGTCGAACCCCCGCGGGTCGGAGATACATGTGAGAATCACCTACAGGGTTCGTCCTTTCCTCTTTGATAGGAAGGGTGTATGGGTGGTAAACGAGATTCTGCCGATGCCCAACCGAGCTGGGATACACCAACGAGTGATGGATGTTTCGATGGGTGCTTGCTCTTACAAGAGGATGTGTTAGGTACTGCAACACCTATGTGGAGAACCATTGCTCTGCTGGGTTGTCTCGAGTCCCATTCATCGACAGTTAGTGCTCTCGGGAGCCTCCTCGGGAACATACTTGATGAAGGGGGCTACATCTTCCTGTCGTGACTCCGTACCTGCGGGAACATCTGAACATTTTGCAGGCGTCAAGGTTGACTCAATTGCAACAGGGAACAACAAACCTTGTGATTGACCAGATTGAAAAGTTAGTGTACTCGCAATGTTTTAGGGGCATCACCCCCCCCATTACTAGAACTGGCAAGAAGTAGAACCATTTTCCCCAGACTTACTCACAGCTGTTCTCTGCTATGGACAAATGAGTGTTTCCCTGCTGGCAAACAAGAAGGTTTAAGGTTTGAGACCGCAAGAGCATTGAGGCACATGTTCGAAGTCCCGCCCATGCCAGGTCTATTTGCCGGAACCAGAACAACAAGGAGTGGGAGGCGCCGCGGTGGATTCGGACAGGGCCCTCACTCCCCTGAAAGCTGCAGCTGTTGTGTTTTCCTGCACGCTTGTACATGGGTTGTACTGCAAGAATTGCTTCTCAGCCGCTTCAAGTGCGGATATCTGGAGCAGGTGGCAAACATGGGGCATGTCCAAAGAGAATGCGTTCGCTAGCCGCCGGCCTGCTCGTGCCCCTTTCAGAGTTGCCTCCAAACCCTGGAGCAACATGCTTGGTTGCTGCTCCTCTGCTAGGGCTAGGGCATGACTGAGATTCTCAAGTCAAAGTTGGCTGGAGTGCATGGCTAAAATCCTTCCACTTTGGAGGTTTACACATCACCTGTTCAAAGCGAGTTTCATTGCGCGGGGCGATTTTTGACGGGGAAATACAGGGAACCCTGTAACCGGCGAGCTTGAACATCCCCTCCCCCTTGTCGCTGGAAACATGCACAAGCACGCCTACAGCAGCGCGACAGCTCGTCGCCAAAACAAGCCACGGATATGTCTTCTCACCTGTCAGAGGCAACTGCATTGATGCGTGAGAAGCCGGTGTTTGGTAGTTTTTCCTAATACCATCAGGCTTCTCAACCCCAACTTGGATGATCCTTTTGCTCGAAGGACCTCAGGCATTTGTTCCTTCCCTGCCACCCCCCAAACAACAATCCACCCCAATAACAACAACCATCCGCAGCCTTCCGTGATTTCCCCGCGTTTTTGCCCTACATTTCGGGATCCATGTTCCAACCTCGCCACCCTCACCCCAAAGGAAAGCATGGAAGCGCAACTGGGTAACAATCTCCGCCACCTTTGGGCCTCGCCTGCGCACGGCAAAAGAGTCACAACTCATCACAACCTGTTGTTCGGCGCTCTCCGCTGATGCGAGGTGGGTGTGTGTCAATCTAGGGGACAGCAAGACGACTTCGGTTTTCCTTTAACTTTGGCGTCCCTTCGAATCACTCCCAAAAAGGGTGGCCTTGAAAACACCGCGCGCACACACACGCACACCTGAGATGGGGCCAGACACTTCGAACCCACGTCGAAGCAGGTTCCGAGAACCTTTTTTTGCCGGGACGCCGGGTCCCAGGTGAAGGCGCTCCTGACCTTGGCCTGGGTGAACATGGCGCGGACGGAGGACCTGGGTGCGGTGGAGACCGCGCTGAAGAACGCCAGCGAGGGGCACCTCGGCCAGCTTTGGTTGTCTCAAAGGATACGTGAGCCACAATCAACACCTGGGTAGATGAAGGTTAGTAAGGGGCAATCCCAACCATAAATGGTTGCGGCCGCCTTCTTAAATTCTTTACATGGTTCTGGGTAAACCATCTTTGTACCGGGTTTTGATTGTGCCTCACATCGTGTTTGTTTCTGTAGTTTGCATTTATTTTGAGGTTGCCTTTTCTTAAATTGACCTCTCCTAAGGTGCAGCGAAGTGGGGCGTGTTTGCGGTTGTAGGTACCGCTTGGTTGCGTGCTTACAAAGGGAATTCCAAGGGAACATGCATTTTGTTGGGGTCCATCAAGAATAGACAAACCCACATATGGAACAGAATCTGAAATAATTTGTTTCTAGTTGGCGCAAAAGCTGAGCTAGACCCAGGTGGGGCGAAATGAAGGGAGCTGTCGGGACACGGGAGATCAGATACATTCTGGGAAGATTTCAGATCATGAAGACAGAGCCAAATTCATGGTTTCGGTATTTTCCAGCCAAACGGGGGCAGAAAGTAGCAAGTACCCGCCTTTTTCGGCTAGGTCTTAAGGGAGTCTGCGGATCTGCCGTTGAGTTGGTTGTTCACCCCGTGCGCTTCCGCATGAATCGCCCTCTCAACTGGCCTGGCACATGCATGCCCAGAAATTGTCATCCATTCACGCAATTCGGGGTGGGGGATGGGGGATGGGGGTTGGGTGGGTGGGTGGGTGGGTGTGGGTGGGTGGGTGTGGGTGGGTGGGTGTGGGTGGGTGGGTGTGGGTGGGTGGGTGTGGGTGGGTGGGCGGGCGGGTGGGTGGTTGGGTGGGTGGGGGGATTTTCCACTGACCTTGTGGTTCTTTGTCCATTGGATGCAGTTGGTTCACTCGAATTATTTGGGGAATCCACCCATAGCCCACTCTACATGCAGAATGCCTTCAGGCGAGACATCACCCAGGAGTTTGACAACAAGCGCTTGGAGGCTGCTGGAGGGGGCTCCCGAAAGGGGGCCTGCGAGGTTTGGGCATGTTTTTGACAGCCCTACCCTTAGTCTTTTTAGGCCTTTAGAGTTTGGAGGTGTATCCCAATAAAAGTTTAGCTTTCGGGAAGGGCTCAACCAGCCACTAAGATGAGCAACATGAGAAAACACCATCAAAATACCTTGAGACTCGGGATTTTAGCAGCTTTGTGAACAGTTTCAGAAACAAAAGCAGATGAGATCAATTTAAACACACAAGGTGATCTTGCCCGCCACACCCGCAAAAAAAACAACAAAAGAAGAACCACATAAACACAAATGACAAACATAAATAAGCAATAACAAAACATCGCAGACGCGTCCAATGGCCATGGGTGTCCTTTTCGGTTTCCCTTCAAACAACCGACGGGTGGCCAAACGCCAAACGCCAAACGCCAAACGCTCCGCGTCCGTCAGGCGGAGTGTTTGTACGCCATGGCGGAGGCGAGGGGCCTGGTGAGCTCCCCGGACGACGCGCTGGACGCGGCGGACGAGGCCATGGACCTCTTCCTGGAGCTCCGGGATGCTTGGCCCGGGCGGGTTGGGGTTGTGGGGGGGAGTTTGGGGGGGGAGGTGTCTTTTCCTTGTCTTCTGCTTTCTGCTTGCCTTTCTTTGTTTTGTTTGGCTTGGAATGGCTGGCTTTTGCCGGCTTCGCTTTCCTGGTAGAGCCAAACGTCAGGTTTTGGGCGCTGCTCAAACAGGAGTGTCGGAGTATTTGTCAGGTGCATCGGCAAAGAGAAGCGCTTGGAGACCTTGCTAAGTCCAAAAGTTTTTTCGGGGTCGCGCTTGTTTGCTTTGTTTTGGGCTCCGTTGGGCTGTTCACGCGCGCCCACGCGCTTCTTCTCCCCAGTGGAATTTGAGCTTGACGTGTAGTTTTTACCGCGCCTGCCGCGTTTTCGTGGGGTGGGGTGGGGTGGGGTGGGGGGGAAGTGCCACGCCCCCTGCAACCGGAAGTCTCTCTTTTGGGGGTAAAGCTTTCTATTCCTCTTGTCTGTTTTCATGGGACCCCCTACGACATAAAAGGGAGCCCTGGCTTGTATGTTTTAATGGGACCCCCTACGACATAAAAGGGAGCCCTGGCTTGTATGTTTTAATGGGACCCCCTACGACATAAAAGGGAGCCCTGGCTGTTTGTTTGAGAGACTTCGAAAAGGGGATACACAATGCGGTTCCCAGGGGACGTGGCAGCAGTTGGATCGTGGCGAACATGGCATCATGTCACCAGGGCACACATGCTGGCCAAATGATAAGCACACCCGCTCACGCGCATGCTCAGCACTGTACCCATGCCTGCCAAATGATAAGAACACCCGCTCACGTGCACGCTCAGCACTGTATCCATGCCTGCCAAATGATAAGAACACCCGCTCACGTGCACGCTCAGCACACCCGCTCACGTGGCTCAGCACTGTATCCATGCCTGCCAAATGATAAGAACACCCGCTCACGTGCACGCTCAGCACTGTATCCATGCCTGCCAAATGATAAGAACACCCGCTCACGCGCACGCTCAGCACTGTATCCATGCCTGCCAAATGATAAGAACACCCGCTCACGTGGCTCAGCACTATATCCATGCCTGCCAGATGATAAGAACACCCGCTCACGTGGCTCAGCACTGTATCCATGCCTGCCAAATGATAAGAACACCCGCTCACGTGCACGCTCAGATAAGAACACCCGCTCACGTGGCTCAGCACTGTATCCATGCCTGCCAAATGAGCAACACCCACCATGTCAAGCTTGGGTTGCACAGCAGCACTGCCTCTTCTGCCTTGAAAGTCAGCCAAACCCTGCGCACTTTCAAGCAACAGTACACTTTTGCAGATGTGGTGACCTGGACTGATGCAAGGGCAGAGAAGTATTTGAAAGCTTCTGGCGTCTTGCCAGGGTCGCGTTCTGAAAGAACGAGTCTGTGTTGGGAGTGCGGAGGTCGCCTGGTGGCTTGCACTGCTTCGTCTTCCAGCACGGGAGCATCGGCTGTTGATGTGCTGCAGTGCAGATCATGTCGGACGCCAGGTCGACATCCTTTGCAACTGGCCCAGTCAACTTTGGCATACACACCGTTTTGGAGAAGCGCTCGGAAGTCCTACCAGCCACAGTATTATGGCTGCGGACGGCTTTTGCTGTTGGCGTTAAGATGCCCCAAGACACCATGCTTCATTTTGTTCCTGACTCCGCCAACTCATTGAGCCCGGACCTCTTGGATCGATGGGTGCATGAAATGCGGTTCGCCTTGGCCTTCCTGCACATGCAAGAGCAGCAAAACATCAAGTTCAGCAGCGAGATCTTTGAGATGGATGGATCCAAAAACTGTACACACAAGAAGACATCGCGGCCCAATTTTTTGCTGCGACGCCGCCGGCTGCGAGGAAAGCAAAGTGTTGATGACAGGCCTGCGCACAAGCCAAGACTGGGTGGCTTTGCAAAACGCAACCACAAAAAAAGAGGTACAGACAGGAAGGTGGTCCATCATGGTCGCATGCTGTTCCTTCGAGGTCGCTTTACAAAAGCTTCTGTTGCAGTGCCCATGCCTCCGAAGAGATCTTGCGCAGGGGCGCCAAGCCCGCCAGAAGACAAAGCCACTGTCATGAGATCTATGCGGAAGCATGTGGATCTTGCCACATGCGTGGCAGGAACGGATTCTGGCAAAGCTCTTCTGGCGGCCTGTAGAGACTTGAAGGTTCCTAATGCCGCTGCGAGACATGCCCACGATGAGATGAGCCCTGTTATACGTCTCAAGAAGTCAGCAATGACCGAAGGTCAACTTGCTACTTTAAAAGAAGCCTCTGCCATGAAAAAGCCAGCTGCAATCGAACGTTGCAGAGACATGCTGGTGGTTGGCGGTGATAACAGCTGTGAATCAGAAGTGTCACGTGTCAAGTCTCAAATGAGACGACAAAACCAAATGGGGCGTGTGAGCCCAATGCAGGCACACATCGTGCAGCTCGCAGGTCGCATGCTGTTGCAGCGCCCAGGCTTAAGTACAGTCCTGGAAGCGTTTAAAACGTACAGGATGGCACGCCAGAACTGCATGGGCTGTCCTCCTGATTCTTTTTTGGTGCTGAGCAAAGACAGCGCCTGGCTTCTGAGAAGCTGACGAGAGTGAGCAACGCCCGCGCCTAAAAAGCGCGCGTGAACAGCCAAGTGGACCGTTGTTTTGCCCAAGGGCAGCGAGCGCGTCTGCTTTGCGGGCCATGCTGCCTCTCTGCCAAGGCAAATGCTGACTGTGAAGTCTGATGCTTGTGACTAAAGCTTGATTGGGCCCATCGCAAGGGGCGCTTGTGGCGGTTTCCATGTATGAGCTATGCAGGGGATGGGCCCTGTGAGTAACAGGCTCCGTCAAAACGGATGTTCGAGGTAGCGGGTCCTTCTGGGAAAGTTGGTGCTTTGCCTGGCAAGTGTGACTTACACCCCCACCGTCCAACGGGGCCCCACATTGTTTTTGTTTTGTTTTTTGCCGAGGACAAGCGTATGGAAGCCCTGGTGCTTTTGCAGCCCGGCATGGGGACGGGAAGATCCGGGCCGAGGTTTGAAGACCGACCGGCCAAACCTCGCGCCCTCGCGGGCTTCAACAAAACCAGCCAAAGACAGATTCTTTGCCAGTGATCCAGTGGGCAAATGCTTGAAGCCTTGCCTAGATGTCCTCCCTCATGATGAGGGTTTTGTATGGACGTCTTTTGCTCTCACAACCCCAACAGCCGCTGGTTTTGCAAAGTTCCCAAAGAGTGAGTGCAACCCGCAAAGGGGTTGGTTTTGTGTTCGCGGTTTGCACGTCGCCGTGCGTGATTACATATTTCATGGTGGTCTGAATCGCCTGGTGGCATGCTTGTGCGACGGCTGCATCAAACCCCTGTTTTGGGGGGGGAGCCCACAGGGAAACCCTTTAAACACACACTATACAACATGTGTGTGGCTTTCTTGTGGCCAGAGTACAGTCTCACGGCACATCCAACGATCCCAGACTAAATCGAAATTCAATGCGTACAGCAGTGGCTTCAAAGCCTGGACTGCCAAGTACCCAAGCTGTTTCTGGGACCCAATCTGGGCAAGTTCTTTAATTCTTTCATGGGCATCCCCTGTGTTCTCTTGGTGAAGGGGTAGGCTTGGTTGGTCCAGGCAGTCCGGCGACTGCTTTTGTGATTGTGAAGGAGCTTGGAAACTCTTGGTCAAATGGAATTGGAGGGCTTTGGTAGCTTTGGTATTTTGTATTTGAGCATGGCGGAGGTTCATGGATCTCCTGAACGTCGCCCGTGAGGGAAAACATCCGTGGACTCCCTTCAACCGGGTTTGGGTCGCACTTCCGGGGCCCTTTCCCATATGGAGGGCAAAAGCAACTGACGAGTGATTTGCGTTGTTTTAAATCAGTTGGCCAGCAAGGTTTATGCTTTGCAGACCATGAAACTCAACAATGATGTATGACCTGGCACCTACGCAGGAGTGGGACAGCTGGGAAGGAGTCTAACAGATGAACCAGCAGTCTCAAGAAGTACTCCGTGGGCTCCAATATTGTTTGCTTTGATACGTTTGGCTGTTGACATCAATTCATTCAATTTATGTTGAGGCTACTCATGTGGATTTGCACAAGAACAGCAGAACAGGAATTAGATTTGCCATTGCGCAACTTGGCGAGGGCTTCTGCTCCTAGCAGTGCATATTCAGTTCTTTCCCTTGAACACCACCATTCGAACCCGGGCCCCTTTCCGTGCAATGGCCAACCCCCACCGATCTATCTCCAGGAGGGCCTCAGTAGCCCACCGCGGGCTGGACCGATCCGAGGAAGATGTCGGAGTGGAACCTGAAGCTCGGGGACCAGGCCCGGGCCTTGTCGGACGCCGAGGACGCCCTGGAGATCTACCAGATGCTGCAGTCCCCAAAGGAGGTGAAGGCTCCGAAACTTTTTGGGTCTCGCAGCTGCGAGTGTGCACCGCTCGCAAAACCCTCAGCCAATCAGTGGGGGGTACCTGGAGGGCTTTGGGCGGGGTCAGGTTCGGAGGGGGAGCTGAATGGTTTCCGCCGCCTCCCCGCTTCGAAGCTGTCCTTCATTGTTCGAGGGGCGTGGGAGCTTCCATGTTGGTCTGAGGGAGGGCTTCAAAAGCAATGAGAGTCTCAGCAGGCGATCCTTACCTTTGGGCGAGGGCTCGGGTGATGTTTTAGTGACTGTATGTCCTATTTTTTGATGGTAACCCTTGCTTGGATGGTTTTTAAAGGACTCCAAGAGACAAAACCGCCGTTTAGGGGGGTCCCCTAACAAAAAACGCGGCGCCCAATTCCAGGGAGACATATGAGCCGCACCAGGCGCTACGGGCGGTCTTCGACGCCCACCTGGCGCGGGGGGACCTCCGCAAGGCGCGGCTCGTGGCTGCGGAGGCGCTGCGCCACTTCCGGGAGCTCGGGGACAAGCCCGCGCAGGCGGTTTTGCTGGGTTCGGTGGTCGGGAAAAGTGGGGAGGGGAGGAGGAGTTCTGCGACTGGCGTCGTGGTGTCTTTTCGCCTTGTTTTTGGTTTCACCCGTTTTGTCGGGAAGTGCGCGCTTTTTAAGGGTGCGCAAGGTTTGTTTGAAGGAGCAGATCCTGATCTTTGAAGGAAAGCCCACAGGTTGAGTAATTTCAAGACTTTGAACGTGAGAGGGGCTGCCCTGAAACGTTCCCCAACCCCACGGGCAGGTGGAGGCGGTGCGGATGCTGGTGGAGCTCTACGTGAAGGCCAACCGCGTGGAGGAGGCCTTGACCGCGGCCAAGCGCGGCATCACCGTGTGCAAGGAGCTGGGGGACGTGGCTTCCCAGGCGAGCGCGCGCGCGAGCGCTGCTGTCCGGTTGGACATTTTTTTTGGAAAATGCGTGTTTTCTTCCCACTTGTCAACAACGAAGGGGGCACCCGCCGAGTTAAACAGGGGGCTATGGAATTTACTGAATTTACTCATCCAGGAGCCGGGAGGGACATCCGGTGAAGAGGGCGGGACAGGGATCCGTAGATTTGCCCCCAGTGGGAAGCGCCGTCGGGGCTCGCAGACTTGTTGCGGTGGCGCCAGGATTGGCGAAGCCCTTGGTAGGAAGGCGGGGGAATCCCTTGTTGGATTTTGACGACGGGTTCTCAAATTTACCGCGAGTGGTTTGCTTTTCACCATAATTGTGAGGATGTCACAGTATAGAAAGGCGGGGGTGTCGGGGATTAGTTTTGGTGGAACCCGCTGACTCATCAGCTACTGTATCACTCTATTATCCGGGTCAAAGCTTCCTTGACACTTTCTGGGCAGCACCAACATTCAATTTCATGAGACTTTGCTCTGTTAGTTAGGTCATCCCGCCTTGCCGGGGCCTTGCCCTGCAGGCAGGCAGGCAGGCAGGCAGGCAAGCAGTTGTGGCCGGTGTGGCTGTGCCTATCCAAGACGTCTGGACCGCAACTCGAAACCACCGCTCTCTCCCGTGATCCCATGCCGGAGGCTTCGCTGATGCTGACGGTGGCCCGGGCGCGGCTGAGGATGGCGCAGATGGACAAGGCCATCGCCATCGCCCGGGATGCCTTCGCCATGCTCAAGACCCGCTTGGGGGGGGGGGGGGGAAATACATAAACGGCACTTGAAAGAATAAAACCAAATAATCAAACAGCATAAACACAAATCAGCAAAATTCACAGAAAACAAGATAAGAACCACCAAGCAACTCAAAAACCAGAACAACCCCCAACAAAATATTTAATCAAAGCATACATCATTAAATAATTCAAACAAGCATACCAACAAAACAGCAAAAATAAAAACCATCAAAGAACCCAAACTCAAACACACACATCAACAAATTTCAAAGCAACATACCAACAAAAAAATATCAGAAGAGTATCACACAAAATAAAATACAAACAGCCAAAGCACGAAAAAATCAAAAGAGCATACCAAGTTCAAACAACGCACTTTGAAAGAGTCAAGCAAATCAAGAAAATGTAATAGTTATCAAAATGAAATAGTTTATAGAATATAAGTAGAGTATAATGAAAGGTTATAAAGTTTTACAATGTTCATTTATATTATAACAACATAATATAACTAAACAGTATTATTCTATGTTTTATCCAAATTCAATCAAAAAATAGGGATTACAACCTAATATTAGGGGGATTGCTAATTGCCACCTATCATTAGGGGGCTTGCCACCTAATATTAGGGGGATTGCTAATTACCACCTATCATTAGGGGGCTTACCACCTATTATTAGGGGTTTTCTTTTGAACCCAGCAAGGTATCAGCACAGAATGCGACCGGCAACACTGCCTGTCCCGCTAAACATCTCTAATAAGTTCATTATTAAAGATATTTAGATAATATTATCTATGAATAAATCCCTGTTTCCTCATTAAAAACTAAACTATGTTTAGTTTTCAATGAGTAAATGCAACTTTATGAATAAAGTTGCGTTTCCTCATCATAGTCAATTTGATAAAATGCCATGGTGGAGGACTTCGGCTCTTTTATCTCTTTGTTGTTGAGTTTGTTTAAATACACTTGTTTCTTATTTTTATATTCACCATTGGTTCTGTCTACTTCTTTACTTTGATAACTGTTTGTTAATGGTTTCTTCTTTTCCATTTGTTGCAAGATTTCTAAAATATTCTTATTCTGTTCTAAAACCTTATTCAGTTTTTTAACAATCTTTTCTAATCCTTCATCCATGTAAATATATACTAAATTATAAAACTAAACTTATAAAACTACATGTTTTAATTTCGAAGGTCTTTGTTACTTATATGTTTAAATTCTTTGCCTTGCACCATAAGTCTAACAATGTTATCTAAATCTTTTTGAGTATGTCTACATACTATCGCTTTGTCTAGATATAAATATTCATAGCTAAGACCAACACTAATTAATAAAAAGTTATATGTTTTAGTTTGAGTACGAGTTAAGACTATTTTACAACCACACTTACAAGTATAATAACTAACACCATTATAATTATTGTCTCCAATTTGTTTATCTAATTCAAGTGCTCCAAAATGTAAATTTGTTAAACTTGAAAATTCGTCCATATACTAAAGTATAAAACTAAACTTTTAAAACTAAATGTTGCAATTATGTTAAATCTACTCTTTAAATACTCATTTTTCATCATTTCACGTATAGTTTCCTGAGTTTCCTTATCACCATTATATGATGGAGTAACTCCCCTCCCAAAGCGAATAGCAATATTATGAACATCTGTTTCCAGATTTATACTGTCTTTAGTTTTATCGATATTTATTCGTTTATCATTTTTACTCAATTTGAAACTTGTTGGAATACACGAGCATTTGCAATTTTTACCATTTTTATTTCTACTTCATTTTTCATTTCTAATATTGTTTTACACATTGGACAAGCAAACTCAATAACTGATGTTTCTTTAACAATTTCTTCTTTTTCTTCATCAGTTGAAGAAACAACTGGTTCAGTCTTATTCTTTTTCTTTTTTCCCATTTATATTAATATTCACATTTTTATTTTTGATATATTGTATAACAAACTTAATTAATTCTAAAACAAAATAACATATTTTTTTACATCTATTATTAGTTATAACAACTTGTTCTATATTCTCTACTTCATCTATTATATCAATATAATCTGAATAACTTCTATTCATATAAAATAATAAATATTAAATTATTTTCTAAATGTCTTTAATATTACTTTTATTATGCCTGATGTAAAACCAATTGATGAAATCAAATATGACTTTAAGCAAAGTAAGCACGAGGTCGTCCCTAAATTGCCGATGAGAGCTATGATTGTAGGTCCGTCTGGTTCTGGAAAATCAACTTTACTTGTATCAATGATACTTGATATTTATAGAGGAGCATTTGAAAGAGTTTTTATCTGGTCCCCATCTGTAAATTTGGATAGTATTTGGTTGCCAGTGAAGAAATACATTAAGGAAGGTTTGAAAGTAGATACTGATAAAGAACCGTGTTGGTGGGATGAGTTCAATGTTGAAGATTTAGAAAGAGTTATAGAAACTCAAAATAAAATAATTGAATACCAGAAAAAACAAGGAATGAAGAAGTTATTTAATATTTTGATAATTTTGGATGATGTATCTGATAACCCAGCAATAACAAGAAATAACAAATTGTTAAATTCTTTATTCTGTAGGGGACGTCATAGTGGAATATCAACGCTTGTCAGTCTTCAGAAATCATCAAGTGTCCCACCAATTATTAGAGTAAATATAAGTCATTTGTTTTATTATAAAGTTAGAAACTTCAAAGAGATAGAAATATTGCAAGATGAATTATCAGCAATTGTTAGAAGCGATAATTTACACGAAAGCAAGAAACTAATTTATAAAATATATGAGACCGCCACAGATGAACCACATAGTTTTTTATATATTAACCTTTTAGAGAAAAACCCAGATAAAATGTTTATGAAAAAGTTTTCTCAATATTTGAAAATTACTAATTAAATAAATAAATATATTAATATTATATGATATTTTATGATTTACCATTAGACATTAAAAACCTTGTATTATCTTATAATTTAGGTGATGTTAGATTATTAAAAATAAACAATAATATCATTATTAAAATTATATTAATAAATTTAAACCAGTGTATACGTCTTACAAATTAAAGAATTCACAATATTTTGAAATTGACAATATCAATATGAACATATTATCAATAACGGCATATCATATATTTTTAACTTAAGTGAGTTAGATAACTTACATCAACAACATAAACCGTTAAAATTCTTAATTGAATATGATATATTTGTTACATCTACCTCATTTACTTGTTTGAATCATGTTCGTAATCGTACTTTAACATCAAATAATTTATTTGATATTTATTATTTTCTTAATAAAGACCTTTATGAAACTAATTTAGTGTATAGCCGTAATATGGATAATTTTATTTCATTACAAGTGAAAAAAATAACTATTAAAGTCATCAATTATGAAAGACAAAGTTTTATTAGTAAATTTTATTCATTGTTTTTTCATTAATAATGTTAACGAATCATATTAATATTATTAATTTACATCAATGAAGCGTTGCATAAATTCAACGCAGGTAATTTATATAATAATTTGTCCGATTTTTGATTTTCTAACTTTTCTATTCTCGCTACACATTCTTGAATAGATTTTATTATTAAAGTATCCGCTCTCGTTTTTTCATCTACTCTTAAATTCTTAATGTCTTCCATACTGTTTTTTTCTTCGTTTTTGCTTTGACCAATACCCATTATATATTATTATTTAGATTTTTCTTTTTTCAATTCCTTAATTTCTTTTTCTAATTTTTCAACTTTATCTATTACTTCCAGTAAAGCTTTATGTAATAATATTGGTACTTTTGTATATTCAATGCCTAAATATTCGCGACTGCTATGAACTACATTACTAATTTCTTTTGGAACTGCTTTTAATAAATCATCAGCAATGTAACCGATGTGGATTGCATCCTTATCTTCTCTATCTTTTCTTTTGAATTTTTTAGGTTTGAATTTCTTAATCATACTAATACAATTACTTTTAAGTACATCTACATCATATTTTAATCTTGCATCAGAATTATCTATTAGACTTCCATTTATAGTTACAGTTCCAGCAGTAATATCAATAGCATCACCTGAAGCATCTTGAATATCATTAACAAATAATGTTTTTGTATTAACAACTGTTACATTTTCATTAAAAGTTGATGGAGCATTATTTGTAAAACTTTCAGTATTTACTGTTGTTCCAAATGTCTTATCAATAGATAATAAAACTGAAGGTGTAGTTGAACTATCTGCTATTCTGAATGCAGTATTTGATGTTTTAAATATTATATCAAATGTTGATAGATTAGTCCCATCGTGATAGGTCGATATTTCCGATGTTCCCATTTTAATATCAGTTCCAGTAGTCATTGAAATATTATTCAAAAATGAAACCGTTGTTAAATCGAATGATTGAATTGTTTAGTTGCTAAATATGCATTTTGAACTGCTAAGTTAGTATCAACGGTTATTAATGTTCTCCGTTAGGTGCCAAATGATTGCTTCTTAATGCTCCATTAGTTTTAACATAAACATCATCAGCAAATAAATTACCCATAAAATCAGCAGTAGCAGTATTAAAAGTCCATCCGCTAGTAATATTAACTGCCCCGACTATGTTAGACTGAACAGCGGGGTCTCCACAAATAAATCTAATTGAAGAATTAGCATCACTATTCCTCATATCAAAAGATGAAAAAGCACTAACATATCTATATAATTCACAATTTGTATCAATTGTTAATTTACCATCAGTATCAATATTAACATTATCACAATTAACATCAGCATTCGTATAAATATTACCTAACACATCTATAGGTTTACTAAAAATTGTTTTTCCTACAAGCCCATCTGCCATGAAGTATTGGTTAGAAGCATTAGTTATATCTCCTACACTACACGCTACAAAATTAGGATGATGTATATACAAACCTTCTGTTGCATCTGGTGTATATGTTTCTAAGTATGGTTCTAATCCATTTATTGAAGTATTGATATTATCTATTTT